AACTAATAATGCTGTCCTGGCAGTGAGGAAGAGGGAGAGGAGGATGCAGGGGTTATAAGGGAATTTCATGTTCATGTTAAGTTGTATGACCTGCATGTGCTTTGAATGGGTTGATGCAGAGGCAAATATTAAGAGCGTGTATTGTATCTGGGAAAGGAAAAAAAAAACATACTACTCCTTTTGCTATTGGCAATAAATTAGCATGTGAAATTTGGTGTAGATAAATGCGAAGTTATATATATTTATAGTAGAGGGAATAAAGCTGACAATACAGATGAATGGGTAAGCTCTGAAATACCACCAGTGCTCAGGACAAGGAAAGAGGCTCTTTCTTTAAAATGTCATTTCAAACTCTGACAGCTGTCAACAAATTAGCTACAGAATTAAGAAAGAAAAAGAAAGAAAATACCATTTTGACACTGCTTAAATGCAAAGTTTGCTGTTGTCTTAACTGCTACATTTCTGGTTGCATCATCTCAAAGAATATTGTAAAACCAAAGAGGATATGGAGAAGGATGACAGGGTACTGAAAAGAAAACAATTGCTACCACACAAAGAGGGATTAAGTACTTACTGGCCTTCAGTCTGAAGAAGAGACAGCTGGATGGTGTGGGGAAGCAATGCTATAGATGTCTCTGAAAACATAAAGAGAGTCAATAGGCAATAAATCATTTCTCCCAGTACAAGAACTTGATGACAACTATAATCCAGGAATTGCTTTTTCCCATGAGTATAGTTGAATTCTGGACCTTGCTTTGCAGTAGCGATAAAGAGAAAAAAATAAATCTGTACAGTTTCTTGGAAGATGGATCCATTGGGGAGTATTAAGCCTGAGGTTCAGGTAGGCTTGTGGAGATCCTGAAGGTGTGTTTGCTGCATCCTAAGAAGGATGTATCAATGAAAGATGGTTCCCTGCGTGCTTACACTACATGCTGAACATCTCCATGTCCCCTCTCTGAGGGGAGAGCTAGATCTAGTTCCAGAATAGGAAATTGCTCTCAGAAAATGGAAATGTTCTGGATTGTGTCCAGGAATGTTCCCCAGTGTAAGCAAAGTTGTGCACAGGAGGTGAGACTTTTTATTGAATGGGATTTATGAAGATACTTAATCTGCTCCAGGGACATGTAGCTAAAGGATTCCTTCTGCTTGGAGGTGCTGCTTTGACATATGAGCAGAGGCTGTTGGACTTCCAACATTTGTATCCGAGCCAATTTATGACTTTATATATAAAGGCCCACATTGCTGAGTGAACCTGAAACTGCCTGACAGCTTGTACAGAGTGATGATGAACGCTAATGAGTGATCTCTTCCCTCAGTGCTTTATTCTTGCCTAGAAACTTACATAATTTCAGGTTTCAGCAAGACTGGAAAAAAGGTCCAGGATTCTTGAGAAATGTTTGTGCTGTTCTTGCAGCTATTAATTGTGTGTTGGCTAATCTGCATCTTTCACTGTCTGAACCATTGCAGTCCTGGAAACAGTCATGGAAAACTGTTCTAGTGAGAATATTGCCTAAAAGAGGGGGGAGCATTGTTCTCTAGTGCATCCATTTGATTACTTTTTATGATGACAAGAGAGTTCTTGGAACCAATCCTATTTCCTGTTCACATATCACTGGCTTTCCATCAACATCAGGTTTCTTCTAGTCCCTAAATTCAGATTTATCTAATGATTGTATGCAAAAAGGTTGGTATTCCAAAAATCTAATTATGCAGCATTAAAGGAGAAAGTGAAAATATTTGGTGTGTCATTTTTTCCCTGTGAACGGTATTAAAAAATAGGGAGTTTAATTTGGAAATGTTATTAATGGAATGTGCTGAAGGGCTGTATCATCTTGTGCAGAAAGAGAAGCTTTCAGGTTACTGCTTGGAGTTCAGTGCACAAGCTTAGCAAACAGCAGTTCTGGTCAAAGTTCCTGCCACCTGTACTCTAGTGTAGTTGTGTGTGCTTTTTGGTGTCTACACATTCTTTAAGACACGTGAGCTCTGAGAATTAGTTTCAGGCTGCCTTCAGAGAGGTACCTTAAATTCTGGGTGTTGTTTACAATTTTGTTGTTGACTTTCATATATCTTATTAACTGAAAAAGATACAGAGAGGAGTGGAGGGGGAAGAGCCTTTTACCTGGAAGGTCCAGTAAATAAACGTGATTACTGTGTTAGATCATTCATTTGTAAATGAGCAAGTAGACATCACAATCTTCATTTTAATAAAGCGATATATCACTAGAAAACAAACAAACAAAGCAATACAACAACGTCACATTGCTTTCTGGTTTTGTGACCTTGGAACTACACTTAGTGCTGTAATTTATTAAGGATGATGGCAAAGCAAGCTGATGTCAAGACAAGTATTTCTGTTTGTTGGCAGAATGAGGATGACAGCTCCCGCAGTTGTTAGATGTTGAGACTTTTGCTTCCTTTCCAAGAAGCTGGTTAAGGTCTCCCCTTGGCCCACCAATGCTGCCGAAACAAGTGTTATGAATGCTTTCAACCCAATTATTTCAGCTTCAGGTGATCACCTGTAAAACATGCTCTAATTAGACTCTTCAAAATGTGCTGTCCTGTTCATAGAAGTAGAAGCTTCATTTTGTGTTTGGTGAAGATGTACATATGAAATCAATGAATTCATTCAGTTACAGACCAATGTGTGCATGTATTAGACTTCTATAAGTCTTTTGGTTTTAAACAACAAATGCAGAAATTATTTTGTACTATTACTTATACTGGTAGTTGAGTGTTTGGAAAAAAATGGGCAGAACACATGCTTGTGGTAAATGAAAGGTTGTATAGTTGCAAGGCAGATGTCTTTCTAAGTCATTTTGAAGAGTGACGTTTTTAGAACACATGATTGAACTAGCAAAGCTTTGGGAAGATATATGTTTGTTCTCTTAGCTATAAGTTGAGTTGCCAGCTGGAGAAATAATTTAATGTTTATGAGATGACCCTTTTACTAAACAGAAGGGTGCAAGCTGACAGAAGTGTGTTTATTTTATTTGACATACACAACCTGAAGACTCCTGTTCTTGCTTTAGACATCTTAAATGATTTCTGTTAAGAGTAAGTCCTTTCAGAGTTGTATCAAATAAGATATCTTTCTTTGTAATATTTGTAGTTATATTTTAAAATTATTTTTTTCTTTTACTTTCATGCTTACCATGTAAAATCCTTTCAGAAAGCAACAATAAACTGTAAGTAAACAAAATGCAAATTGTCCAACAATTGTTTTGTTGCTCAATTGTATGGTGCAAAATGAGTTGCAAAACCAAAGTAATGAAAGATTATAAGTATCAAGAATAAATTCCCCATTGTAGCAGTAGATTAACATATATATTGCAATTCTGTGATCTGAGTGATAGTCTGTAGTTTAGTATCACTAGATATCTGATTATTCAAATTAATTCATTTGAGTTATCTGGTGATTAAATGGAAATAATATTTGGAGGGGAATGTTAATTTTCTGGGAGGGGGGAGGGATGAATCTAAAAGTCTAAAAATAGCATTGGAATTAATGATTTATTTTTTTTAACGCTATACATTGGAGATCAGAAGTTTTATCTAGGAGGCTTGGGGAAGGGATTTGATTAATATTTAATAGGGGAAAGCTTCCCTGGTACTGTACATGACAGTAGGAAGAGGAGATTTTAGAATTCATGGCCTCTAATAGTTAGTTGATTTCAAAACATCCACAATAGCAAGCCCAGCGATAGACTGGTAAGGTAACTGGGATATAGCTTTCTCTCTTCTGCTGAAGCTAGGGTCCATGGGCACTTTGTGGGATTTGAGCTGAACCTTAATTCTCCTATCAATGTAAAGTCTGGAAGTATTGAACAAAAATAAAAAAGTAAAACCAATTTGTAACACGGCACTTCTTTAGAAGAGAGCAATCTATATGCACTGACAAGCTGCAATGTTATGCTGCTGCAGCATGTTTACTTCCTTGGCAAACAGAAGCACACTTTTACTTTGTGTGTAACAATGGGTCTGCTGTCAACATAGAGTTTGTCATGATACTGGAAAGAAAAATCAATGTATGCATCATCCTGTGTTTAGGTAGCAGTTCAAATTGCAGCAGACTCAGGTTAAACATTAAGAAACTTTCTAGCAGTGAGGATAATGAAGCACTGGACTAGATTGCTTGGGGAAATCATCACTGGAACCTTCGCAGCAACGTAGGCAGATTCTGTCAGGAGCGACGTGGGTACAGTTCATTCCCCCCACCCCCACAGTGTGTAGCATGGGATTTCTCAAAATCAGTTCTACTATTTTTCTGTGACTTTTTTTTTCCTATGGGAAACTCAGAGTGTGAGTAATAGAACTTTGTTGGTTCTGAAAGCTGAAAACAGTGACAACAAAAAAGCATCCTGGCAATTTAAATAACATTTAGAAGCAGCATCTCTTGTCAGCAATAATATTGTAGCTTGAAATATAGAATACCCATGCTGTTGATGTTTGCTTTTGGGTTTTTGTGCTGCATGTTTCGACTTTCAGACAGTTAAATGAAATATTACTTGTTTAAACTTTAAATTTAACAGTTATAGCAAAAGAAAAATGATGCTATGTATTTTTTACTCACAATTCATGAGATGTTTATATAGAAATCTGATTAAATTGCTTATTCAGTTATAGTTTTCAGGGTGAATTGAAAGCAGAGGCTGAAATTTTTTTTTCACTGAAAATGTTTGAAGTTTGTAACATTCAGCGCTTCACATTCTACATTTTAAAATATATGTGGATGGTGTGTGAAATCCGGAAACATCGAGTAAAAATGTTCTGTGCGGTTGCTTTAATTTTTGCCTGCAGCGAGAAAAGATTTCATACCTTACATAAAGGAATTCCTCAATTACTGTTTTAAACAGATTGTTGTAAGCCTGGCTTATTGTGCTCGGCCATCTATCAAAATGGCAAACCAACAATAGATTTGTGCTTTGGTAAGGGAAGAAGATGCATATATTTTCTGTCTTTGTTATGCTTTTTACAGAAGGTGTTTTCATCTGTTTTATCAGAAATTCATAGCCCATCAGCATCTCTGGGTGACTGCAGATGACATAGAATTGTGGCATCGCAACAGGCTGGAAGTTGAGCAAGTGGAGGGTAAAAACTTTTAATGTGATTATTGACAGCTGTGACAGATTACATAAAACGTTTTTTTCAAAAAAGTACAGAGTTCTATTTTAAACATGAAAATGTCAGAAAATTAAAGGTGAATTTCTACTTTAGAAATGTAGAAACTTAAAGGTATATACACTACTTTAGCATATGAAAGAAGAGGGTTTGAATGATGATACAGGGAGAGAACTATAATACTTAAACGTGGAAGCTCTTACATACCACTAAAAATCTATAAAATGCATTACCTTGCTAAAACATCTCCTGTAGGATCTTTTTAAGCCACAATAGATAAAAATAAATGGGACTGGAAGCTTGCATGAAAATGTTAATGCTGTGTTTGGGCATTTGGGGAGCACTGGGTAATTTGAAGCCTATAATGAAATACTGAGTTAGTAAATGCAATAGTGTTGGCAGCTGCTGCTTTGTGAAAGGTAATAAGTATTTGAATAATCTGATTTTTTATGGCATTTTTCTCACTCTGTTTAGTACAGTCTTAGAGGAGAAACATCAAGTAGTATACCATCAGATATTTCTTTCAGGGGAGAGATGGGAGAAAAAAGATTAATTTTTAATAAATTGAATTCTTAGTAATGTCTTTATTTTAATTTCTTTAGACTATGTCTGAATGTATCCAGCTCTCATTTGCTGTTTGTAGAATTGGCATTTACACGGTAAGGCAATGTTCTAACTAAATCAATAACTTCTGTTAGTGTTAATGCCTTTTTACTGAAAAGAAGTTACAAAGTATTTTGGCATCAGGATTAAGCAATGCAGTTAGCAAAAGGGATTTGTCATATTAGTTTACATAAGCAGAATACAGCATGGTTTATCCTATCCAGCTTTAATAATGCCAGGACAGAAAGTGTTATTCACTTTAATTAAAAAGTAATGAAAAATCCAGGCAACCTCTTAAGGTAAGAAAATTTGGAATTCTTATGTGTGAGTTACTGAGAATTCACGCATAATATAATGGCTGAAGGGTTTGTATACATTTGCTTTTAAGTATCCATTATGCTTGAGTAATGTGTTGTACTAAAACATATTAGGTAAATGTACTTGTTGTAAACTTTGCCTCGAGTGCCTTGATAGTTTCCAATTACTGTTAAGTCTCCTGAACCTTAATTGAAATAAACTTGAAAGAAACATGAGGTTTATTTCAAACATGAATGTCCCAAAGATGCTAAGAATTCTTTAAAATTTTACCTTCCTCCTAATTGCTGCTTGTATTAATGATGAGATCAGATAGAAATTCATTAAGTAAGCATGTTTCAAATCCTGGAGCTTTCGGAGTGGGATTGCTGCTCCCACTGTTAACGCTTTTCAGCAGGAAACCTGGCATGCACTGCTTTCCATTTTATTAGGCTGTACAGTCAAAGGCTATGTGCCTTGTGAACAGCTGTAATGAGGCCTATATAGCACCAGTGACCCTCACCTGGGGACCAAATTGCGAAGCTTAAGATTTTTTATTCCTAGAATTCAGCTCCAGTTACAGCTTCACGTCTGCATGACTGTGCACCCCCCACCCCTGACATTTGCCTGTGTTCTGTTTTCATAATCTAAAAGGCTCTCTTCTAAATGGTAGAACGTAACAGATTTGGGTAATATGTACAAAATCCTCATGAAGGAAACTGCCACTTGCAGTTAAAAGCATGCTTTCCTGTGGTATTTAAGATCCTTAGCAAGACCTTCTTTCTCCAAATTCCTGTGTGATAAGAGAATGCTTATCTTGAAGGATCGGAGTGGGCTACGGTATGAGGTTTTAACGGCTGTGAAGTATGCAGACCATCTGCCAGCTCTTTAGAAGGCTGTATTAAGCTGTCTAAATTAATTTGAGAAGATGTCCAAGTATAATTTTGTGTGTGTGTTGCAGAAACGGGTATAAGCAGTTGTAATGTATAGCAGAATACACCCTCTCATAATAATTGGTTCTGTTTAGGTTTAAAATAGGTAAGTGTAGTGGGTCTGCTGCAGTTCACTGTTAAGTCGTGGTAGCTGCAGTTGTAGTGGTAGTTGTATAATTGGTATTTTATTGTGAATTTTAATCAGCAAAATTTTTAATTTCATCAAGTATTTTAAATTGCAAAGATAGCTTTATTTATGAAAATGCTGGGAGGAACTGATTTCCCTGACTGCTGGGACCTCAAGGAAGGAGTGTGGTGAGTAGGCTTGAGAGCATCCAGAGATACACTGCTGTGGCCACAGTATAGAGAAAAGGCATGCCACATATGAAGTGTATGTGAAGGCTGAAACAGGTGTTCTAGGAAACTGCTAGATGCCTGGAGTACTTGCTTGTGTAGAATTGCCCGTCATTAGAAAGGTGAATTTCAGATGATCTGCTTGGTGAGTGGGCTTGAACAGTTTTTGTGTCAGAGTTAAGGGAGAGACCTGCCAAAGTGAATGCTATGCGGAAATGAAATGTGGTTGTTCCTCTCTCCACTCTTTGCCTTGTTCTTGCTCAGTCATGTAACTCAGTCACTGGATTTGTTGCTCAGGTATGCGAGCAATCTGGCAGCTCACAAGTATAGTGCTCTGTACAGATGGTCAAGAAGTAAAACACAAAACTCCAGTTCATATTTCCCATTTAATCAATTCATTATAACTTGTATTGTGTGCTTTCTACTGCATGCTGTTTTGCAGATTTAATAGATTAAAAAAAAAAATGATTGATTGATTGATTATTACCCAAAAGCTAAGCAGTCTGTGAAGTGCCAGTCCTTAGCAGCAGCATGTGTTCAGTTTGTCCTGTATTCGGGCACTTCCTGTTCTGCATGTCCTTGTACAGGTCCATAAGTATCTTGCAAAGACTTGTAGTCCTTTGGACTGCAGACATCTCAATTGTTAGCCTGTTATCAAGCTGCTTATCAGTAACACTCTTTGAGTACCCATTACTTCAGCTGTACTAGTGCATTAAATAGGCTTCCTGTTTTTCAGGCCTGCACAGATTACAAGAAGGAGGAAGGGTTTATATAGATATCTATAGCAAAAGAGTCTGTGTTGCCTTCAGTTGACATGATTAGGAGGATAAAGCTTTGTTCTCTCAAGCTAGGAAGAACATAGGTCCTTGCAAGACTTCAGAACGATGTGACACTCGTTTTTGGAGATTAAACCAGATGAGATTTAGAGGTGTGCACCTAGTCCAAGGGGGAAGTACAAAGGCAGAGGTGGCTAATATGAAAACTCCATAGGTATTTGTAAGGAACTGAAGCTGAAAGATGCATATCCTGAAATTGAAACATTATCATGAGCTTAAATGAAAACTTTTGGAATAGAAACCAACCAAAGTAAAACTCCGTATCTTCTGTGTGCCTTACACAGCTAGTACATTCTGGCAGAAGTTCCAGCCTTTTCAGACTTCTTGTTTCTGCTTCTTCCACTCTGCTAGTGTCTGAGACAGATATGTCAGTGGCAGCGTGGGAACAGGTAGATAAGTTACTTCTTGACTCTCTGTGGTTGTGGAGATTGTATACATATGACAGCTTGTATCAAAGCTTGACAGAAATTTGTGCTGTTATTGTTAATGTCTTTTCTGCTTCTGTTGTATTTTTCTTAAGCAGGTAAAAATAGTATTGAAATAACTGTGGAGACCTCAACCTACATAAACTTAAGAGGGGAAATACTTTGAAATTTGTTGTCTTTCTTGCAAGATAGTTATTATGGTGGCATGTTTGCTACCTTTATAGCTACCTAGGTCTTTAAATCAGAAAGTGTTGAAACATAATTGTATGCCTTTACGTGACCTCCAGAAGGTTCTTTGATATTCTGTACTGGGCTTTGTAGCTTTTTTCCCCTAAACTGTTTGTTTGTATATAATAGGAATCTTTTATAAGCAGGGGTTATAGGATATGGATATTCTTCTCCCCTCTTACCCAGGTGACCTCAGGAATAAACAAAAAGACTACTAACATTCCTATTGCTTGTTGTTCTGGATGACAGAACAAGGAAAGAAGCCTCTGCAGGGATGAGAACCATGCAGAAAAAAAAATAAGGAAGCCTCATGGAAGTGTGATTCTTGGCTGATACGTGTTAGGAATAAAGAGTGTAGAAAATAGCATTTTCTGTTCTTGGAAAATCTGAGAGTAAGTGTTTTCCCTGATTGCGGAATATGGCATCAGCAGGTAAGCAATTAGAAAACACTCACTTCAAACCAAAACAATACGGATAACAACAAAGCCTCTGTAGATCTTTCTGGATCTCAGATGCTGGGGATGGCAAAGCCAGTGCACTTTAGCAGCATTGCATCCATATTGGCATCTTCCTGAAAATGGTGAGCCATGGATATTTTGGTATTAGTAGCCTCTTGACTTGAATTTGTGTAGTGGATGTGGAAATAAATGATGCATTTATAAAGCTGTGCTTACTATAGTTTACGTATGGTAAGCGTAGTAAATGATGCAAATGTTGTGCTTTTTGTTCTCTAGTTTACTTTGGATTAACTTACATTTGTCTTTGTTTATAATGATAAATTCATGTCTTGAAAATGGTTTGACTAGAAACAGCTGGTATGCTAAAGAATTTTTCTGACATTAAGACAAAACAGAGTTAACATTTATTCATAAAGTGGTGGAGGGGAAGCTCTTAAGAGAAGCCAACTGTGGTGGTAACTAAAGGCAGTCTTGGAGTAGGAGGCAATCACGGGAACATGTTTGGAACGGTTCATGAGCCAGCCTGTGAATTACAGTATAGAAGGCTTCCTCTGAGACTCTTCCCCTCCCTAACGAGGTTTCCCATTGGAAAATGCAAAGTTAAAGTAATAACAGAGCTCATATAGCATATCCTGTCTACTCCTCCCTTTCCCATGTTGTGTCCTTGACATGAGCAGCAAAACAAAGGCACAAAAAGGGAGCAGGAAAAAATCCTTTTATGTTCTACCCTTTGGGAAATGCAGACAATTCCATTCATGTTCACTATTGATATTCTATGGGTAGACTGCTAGAAAGGAAAGGTATAAATATTTTCAGCTTCCAGCCTTAAATAAAAGGTATTTACTATGACCAGAGTATTTATTGGCAGTGACTTGTGTTTGATGAGATGGTGGTGTGTTTGAGAGTATGTCCAGTTTGTTGTTGCAAATGTATAGTCAAGCTGCTTTAATCGCATTTGTTTATCTTCTGATATATTTTTTTTCCATTGCTACCAATATAAATAGTATAAAGGGAGAATGATACAATGCGTTATTCTGTATGTGTAAATGTTAGATATACCAAGAATTATTTTTTTTTTTATAAAGGTATTAGACTTTTCCTTCTACTTTTCTGAAATGAAGAAAGAATTACGACTTTTTTTTATCAGATGGGGAAAGCTTGGACAGGTTGAATGGGAAATAACCCATGCTGGGTGAGGATAACAACACAATTCTAACCCTATTCCCTATGCAGAGTTAATTTGTTAAATTAAATTTATTTGAATTGCTGAGTAGCTGCTCCTTGTGGCCAGAGCTCACATTACCTGTGCAAAGAGCTTATCAGCTTGGCCCAACCAGTGCTCGTGTGACAGCATTGCTTCCCTGAGATATTAACTGACACAGTCTGTATTTACAGCCCTTTGACAACCTCTGACAACTAGTAATTGATTTGATTGGGAAATACATGGTTTGCCAAATTAGCCTGTTAATTTTTGTCAGAATGAGATGTCTGTTTGATAAACTTGCAGACTGGAATGGAGTTCTGTTCTG